GGGGCGGGGAGATGTGGGCTCATTACGCGTCCCCGCCCCGACCGCAGGGCACCACCCTATCGGCCTCTTCCGCTGGCAGGAACGCCCCGCGCTGCCACCACACCACGCCCCGCCACGCCCCGCCCCGCCACGACGCTGTGTCGCTGAGGACCCCTTTCAGCGTTGTCGCGAAGCCGGACCGGGCCGTCGCGGTCATGTGGCAGGGGCGTGCTCAATCTCGGAGCTCCCATCTCCTCAACAACCCTTCAGTCCTCCCTCCCCCAGCCTGTCTGTGAATGCCATTGTTCCTCACGAAGAGCTTCCTCCTTGCAGGCGACTCGCTGTCCGACGCGGGGGTGACGATGACCTCCTGCGCGTGCACGTCGGCGGGCGCGCGCCTCTCGCTGCCCGAGTGCGGCGTGTCGCTGACCATCCCGGAGGGCGCGCTGGCGCGCGGCCAGGAGGCGCTCGTGTCGCTGGCCGTGCTCACCGAGGACCGCGCGCGGCCGCGGCTGGCCGACGGGCAGACGCTCCTGTCGGGCGTGGTGCAGGTGGGGCCGCCGGGCCTGGTGCTCAACAAGCCCGCCGTGCTGAGCGTGCGCCACTGCGCCGCGCTGTCGGCCGCCTCGGACTGGAGGCTGTCCGTGTGGGGCAGCCACGACCTGCCCGTCGGCGAGGGCGACCAGGCCTCGTGGCGGGAGCTGCTGGCCGTGGGCGCCGAGACCATCAACACGCCCGCCTTCGTGCAGCTGGACGCCACGCAGATGTACCTCATGTGGGACCAGCTGTCGGCCGTCGTGCTGGTCGGCGAGTCCGTCATGAGCCCGCTGTCGGGCGTGCAGGGCGCCGCCAAGAGGATCCAGGTGGCCGTGTTCGCCGAGACGCGCGGCTCCGGGGTGCGCGTGTACGCGCTCGAGGACACGAGCGCCGCGCTCCAGAGCGTCGTCCAGACGGAGAAGCGGCTCGGCTCGAGGATGGCGGCCGCGCCGCAGACCATCGTGTTCCGCGACGGCGGCGGCCCGCTGCTGCTCGACCTGGAGCACGGCGGCAACCACATCGAGCACCAGGAGATCCCCTTCCGACACGTGTGGGCCAGCGGCACCTCGCAGCTGCACTGCGGCTTCCAGCTGCAGCCGCGCGTCGAGGCCGGCGGCAACCCCAACGGTGCCATCTTCAGGGTGCGGGCCTGCCAGCAGCACGACCCGGCCGGCGGCGTCACCATCGCGGCGCTGCCCGCGGGCCGCGTCTCCCCGGCGCCACCGGTAAGCAACACGCCGTGCACTTTATTTTCTATTTAATCCCAGCCAGATGCGATGGTAGCAAAAGCTGCGATTCGACGTGACGGGGCGATTCGATCCGTTGCGATGAGGCCGGATTAGTCTCGGTGTTCTTCGCCGTGCTGCCCCGCCCCGCCGGCCCCGCCCGGGTGCAGCGCGGCGTGACCGACCGACTTGAATGGACGCGATGCTGACGGTGGTTTTGCTCCCGTGTGATTGCAGGGCCTGCAGCCGGGCCGGGCGCTCACCGTCACGTCCACCAGCGCGCGGCAGACGGCCTGCAGCGTCGACTCGGAGCCCTTCCGGTGAGTACCTCGCTACTTTGGTCATAATGAAGTCTTTGCTAGGCTAACGGTGGTGGGCAGGCTGCGCCTGGGCTGCGCCGTCGCCGCTGCGTCTGTCTTCACCGGGTCCACCGCGTCCGGTTGTCCCGGCGGCGGCGGCAGCAGCAGCAGCGGGGGCAGACCGTTCGATTTCCGCCCGAGTCCGCGTCGCGCTGCCGGGCCACGCCCCGTTGTCTCGGGCCCTTTGCCGTCATTATCATAGAGCCGTAATGGAAATGCATGCAAATGTGTGTGTGACCGCAAGGAGTTGGTCATTCCCTCGCGTCCCCAGCGCGGACGATTAACTGTTGCGTTCGATGCGGACGACGTTTATCGGCAGCAACGGATCTTGCGACAACAACGTCCGCCCCGGCCGGGCCCGGCTGAGCCACCGCGCACACCGCTGCTGCTGGTGTTCGATTGGGGCGTGGCGCGGCGGGGCGGGGCGTTGTCGCGGAACTCGAGTGAAGCGAACTGACCGGCAGCAGGCTCGGGCCCGTGCTCTGCTTCAGCTCTGCTCTGCAGCTCTGCTCTGCTGTCCCACGACGCCTTGTTTATGGCTGTGATTGGCACGGCTTGCGCTGCGGAGCGGGACGGAGGGCGGGGATGTCCCGGACGGCCAGTTCGGTAGCGCATCCCGTCGCCGCGTTTATGGCGTCCAACAGTTTTCAGTTTACAGTTTACAGTACAGCTTTACGGCTCCCCTGGCCGCCGCTGACGCTGCCGCCGCGCGGTGGCCGCGGTGGCGCGTCGCTGTCGTCCATTTCATGTAAATTCAGCGCGCCGCGTAATCCCGCCAGTTCCCAGCGTTTCGATCAGCGTATTTCATATCCGGCCCGTGACGTTTACGGGGCGGCCAGGCCAGCAGACCCGCCGATGCCTCCGCCAAAGTGATTTCGCGGGCGCCTCCGCTTTTGCAACAGGCCGGTGTGCTCTTTCTGACCGTGTTTTTGTTTTGGTTGTTTGTCCTGCAGGTTGTCCCGGTCGTTGAGGCAGCACCTGGCGCAGTGCCTGGACCCTCCCAACGCGAGGGGGAATGACTGGAGGATGCTCGCCCAGAGGCTGCACGTTGACAGGTAGGCGCTCGCGCTCAGCGCTCCTCACTGCCTCGCCGCGCCAACTGCGAAATGACTTCCCTACTGTACTGACGTGTGCGATTCGCCTGTCTCAGGTACATCAACTACTTCGCGACCAAGCCCAGTCCCACGGAGGTGATCCTGTCCCTGTGGGAGTCGCGCTCGAGGGAGCCGACGGCCGTCGCGGACCTGCTGGCCACGCTGAGGCTCATGGGCCGGGCGGACGCGGCGCAGATCCTGGAGAAGGAAGGCGGCCCGTCGTGGGTGTGAGTCGCCCCGCCCCACCCCTGCCCGCTACTCTACATCGGCCAACCGACCGTTGCCGTCTTGGATGGCCGGGGTACGCAGTAGCGGACTGTGTGTTCGTGTGGACCTATAGTGCGTGTTGCGTGTGTGGGCAGGCCACCCTTGTGTACTCGCCAGGTCTCGACAATGCCAGGCCTGTCAGTGGGCAAGGTCGAGAACATTAATTTAAGATGATTGATAGATGCCAAACTACTCTGAACTTTGCGAACGTGCATAATGTGCCGACACTGTTCTAATTTACCCTGTAACTAAGAGCTTTATTTTTAATCATTTAGGAGAGAACAAATTGTATA